AGCTAAAGGCTATCAGGTTAGCTACTCTTTCTCTCCATCCCTACCTCCTCCTCCTTTTTCTCTTAACCAATTCACATTTCATTAAAAAAAGGCAACATCAGACAAAGACAAACAAACAACACTATGCAAGGGAAACATTAAGAATATTTCAGACAACAGTTTTCACTCCAGGCAAACAACTTCACAAAAAGGCATGAGGAACCAGCTGAAGCAGATACTACGTATTTGAACAATCTCAGCTCTGTAGGAATTTCAGCCAAAGGTTTGCAACATCACTGTGGTCACACCTGCAGTGTCAGGGTTCCTCACACCGCTAGTAATTTCCTCCATTAAAAGTATGGCACTCTGACCCATTAGCTACATCACACATGTACACTGAGGCCTCACTTCAGCAAAAACTCCTCGCTGGCCTCTCTTTAAACATGTTACAGCAGATCCATTTAACCTTAAATACAGCATCTGAGTTCACAACAGAAGACAGGCGAGAGTTGTCTTCAGAACTTGTATGCTACAAGTTGTGTTACTGCCACTTGGAAAAAGATAATGCACATAAACAATTAGCCAATGAGGAGACACTATATTAAGATCCATTTGAAGAACAATCAATTAGCAAGACGCCAGCAATACGTTCCAGATTTTCACTTCCTCTATGCTCAGTCAATAATTCAGTACTGAACAATTTAAAAGAAACTGTATCATATTTGTGCATCTGAACTTTTTCTGTGCTTTTAGAAGAGATATGGCAACAGCTGACTTTTGAACCTCCTTACCACACTCTTCAAATTGAGATGTTTCTAAAAAAAAAAACAAACAAAAAACAACAGCAAAAACACCACCACCAAACCCCACAACTTTGTTAGTTTTGAAATCTAGAAGCAAACTGTTTGTGTATTTGAGATTTTTTTTAAATATAAACAATTTAATAAAAATTGGCTTCAGAAGACATTTTTAGTCCCTCAAACTATATATGGATTAATAAGTGTCGCACATGAATAAATTATGCTACTCACTTTAACGAAAGTCAATATAATATAACTACTGTGGTCTATAAGAATTTACTGGAAGTAGTGTACAAAATATACTGGCCCAATATTATCCCTATTACAACCACACTGAAATCAATGTAAGAAATAATTTCAATGAAGCAATAAACCAACCCCCTCCACAAGGCCTAGAGAGTACATATGAAACTTCAACATCTATTAATGCATATCTTACACTCACTATATACCCTTCTTCTGCCTATATCTCTCATTACGTAGCATCAAATTTATGACAACATAATTTCAAAATCAGTGCCTCCATGAATGCTTACTCCTTGTAGGTATCAAGTAACATGATTATCTCAGAGGAGTTGCAATGAAATGTTATTTGTGTCCTCCATCTACCTCATGAACTTTGCATATATTCATTATCCAATATTGGCCATAAGCTATCATATGTCAATAACTATACCATTCAAAATGATGCATCTCAAATCAATTCGTTTGTCTTTTGGAGTGGAAGAGTGGAGTAAATAACTTCTCTGGCAAGAAAACACTCAAAATCCTCAAAGATTTCTCTGAAAATAGAAAAAAACAGCCTTGCTCCAAACTGTATCGGTAAAATACAATCCAGAAATTAATACATATTTTATTTACATTCATTAAGGGGAGCTACGCCTGTCTGTTACAATACTCATAAGTGTTACCTTAATTCATAAAAACAAAGTATTTTCACATATATACTGTTGGCACATCTAATGTACTGCAGGGTATTCACAATAAATGTCAAGGAAATAAACACTTCATGGCAAGCAAGAAATAGCAATGTTCCATTTTTTTTTATTTACATTGTTCAAACAGGCTCTGGGAATAAATGTAACTGGATCAAACAAGAGGGAAATCCCCAGAAGAATACACGTTCATACCAAACTGATGACAGAAAAAGCTTTTTACACTAATGCTGCAGGGTTATTGAAGATGACTACTGTGACACAATCCTGGCTTCATCAAAAAAAACCCCAAACCTACCACCAAAACCAACAGACTCAAAACCAAAACAGACAAACCCCACACAAAATAAAGGTTTTGCACTTGTAATCTTCAAACAAGTTAATGCCTATTTTGCTTGTCCATACTAATATTGTGGTATGATTTAAAATACAGATATGTGGACATGCTAATATTCAGCCTCCGGAACAGTTGTTAGCTGTCAAACTGTTGACAGATTATTCCCGATTTTTTTTAAATATAAACAATTTAATAAAAATTGGCTTCAGAAGACATTTTTAGTCCCTCAAACTATATATGGATTAATAAGTGTCGCACATGAATAAATTATGCTACTCACTTTAACGAAAGTCAATATAATATAACTACTGTGGTCTATAAGAATTTACTGGAAGTAGTGTACAAAATATACTGGCCCAATATTATCCCTATTACAACCACACTGAAATCAATGTAAGAAATAATTTCAATGAAGCAATAAACCAACCCCCTCCACAAGGCCTAGAGAGTACATATGAAACTTCAACATCTATTAATGCATATCTTACACTCACTATATACCCTTCTTCTGCCTATATCTCTCATTACGTAGCATCAAATTTATGACAACATAATTTCAAAATCAGTGCCTCCATGAATGCTTACTCCTTGTAGGTATCAAGTAACATGATTATCTCAGAGGAGTTGCAATGAAATGTTATTTGTGTCCTCCATCTACCTCATGAACTTTGCATATATTCATTATCCAATATTGGCCATAAGCTATCATATGTCAATAACTATACCATTCAAAATGATGCATCTCAAATCAATTCGTTTGTCTTTTGGAGTGGAAGAGTGGAGTAAATAACTTCTCTGGCAAGAAAACACTCAAAATCCTCAAAGATTTCTCTGAAAATAGAAAAAAACAGCCTTGCTCCAAACTGTATCGGTAAAATACAATCCAGAAATTAATACATATTTTATTTACATTCATTAAGGGGAGCTACGCCTGTCTGTTACAATACTCATAAGTGTTACCTTAATTCATAAAAACAAAGTATTTTCACGTATATACTGTTGGCACATCTAATGTACTGCAGGGTATTCACAATAAATGTCAAGGAAATAAACACTTCATGGCAAGCAAGAAATAGCAATGTTCCATTTTTTTTATTTACATTGTTCAAACAGGCTCTGGGAATAAATGTAACTGGATCAAACAAGAGGGAAATCCCCAGAAGAATACACGTTCATACCAAACTGATGACAGAAAAAGCTTTTACACTAATGCTGCAGGGTTATTGAAGATGACTACTGTGACACAATACTGGCTTCATCAAAAAAAACCCCAAACCTACCACCAAAACCAACAGACTCAAAACCAAAACAGACAAACCCCACACAAAATAAAGGTTTTGCACTTGTAATCTTCAAACAAGTTAATGCCTATTTTGCTTGTCCATACTAATATTGTGGTATGATTTAAAATACAGATATGTGGACATGCTAATATTCAGCCTCCGGAACAGTTGTTAGCTGTCAAACTGTTGACCCCCCCCCCCCCCAATTAACAATCATTCATTTGATGACACATATCAACACGTAGACACACGTAGCAAAAACCTGTTACAAAAGCCAGAGCTCAGATTTCTGTGCTTTCTATGTTTTAGCCATCAGCTGTACTGAAATAAGGCATTGACCTCCCTTCTCGATTCACAATGGGAGAATACTCTGCTTACAAGCTTACTACTGTGAAGCCTTGTTGTTACTGTGAAGAATCACAAAAACATGTGTAAGAAGGCAGATAGGATTCAATACCTTTCTTGACATTTGAAATGTGATATTTCCAACAGTTCATCAGTCCTTGTCATTTCCCCAGAAGCATAAACAACTCAAGTTTAAGATTTCACTAACAGGGATAAAATACTCTGCAGATTAATGGGAAGGGAGGCTAATACTCCATGAACTAGTTGATGTTGGAGCTTTTTTCAGGTTTCATCTTTAAAGGACTCTACTATGCCATCTAGGATTTTCACGTAATAAAGGCAATTTATCCTTGTAATGAGACCATTTCTACTACCCAAAGAGATTTCAGGCAGCTGTACCACAAAAAATATCTTTCTGTGCATCTTGAAGTCAGTGTGACTGTGATTGCAAACAACTCACTAATGTAAAGAATGGCAGACTGTTGCATTATGCAAACCCATCCGCATTCTTTTGCATCCCTGTAAATGCAGCTACTTCCCTGTTCTGATTGTACTGTACACTGTAACAATAGGTTTCATCTAATAAGCTATTCAGAAAACTCTTACACCGTATACAGGTCATCTCAACTCATTTCCTTGCTGTTAGAAGTAACATGAAAAATGCTTCCAAACATTATCTGAGACAAGAACACTTAGAAACACCTTAAATTCTCGTAAAATATTCACTAGAGCTATCCGCAGTATCAGTTCTACTGTGGTCCCAAACACACTTAACTAAGTCATGTACTGCTGCTGCAGGAATAGATGTCTTGAGGAAAATCTCCTCTACCCCACACAGATTTAATATTTTCAAAGTTCCATGCATAAAGAAGGGGGGGGGGGGGGGGGAAAGAAAGCACAGCTAGAATTTAAAAGAGCTATTTTCTTTTAGCAATTCTAGAACTACATTATAATCACTGTGAGATAAATGCTCTAACCTCCAACTGCACCACCCCAATCTTTCTCCTCCCACATCAGTGCTGAATTTGCAAATGTTTGGGAATAGAAGAATGTATAATCCGAGAACATTAAAAAAGATTTCCAGTTAGGAAGAGACTTGCATGTGGTTTGGGAACAGTAGTGACATCCTATTTATCTCGGATTTGACCAGTCTGGGACCTCCAAGTAGCTCCTTTCTCTAACATTTGGGAAATGTCTTGACCAATTACTGGAGCAACACTTTTCTTCTGGAGTCCAAGCCTACCAAGAGAGGCAGCCTAACAGAATACCTAGACAGAGGTCTAGAAAGAAAAAAAAGGGGGGGAAATAGAAGCTGGCTTACGTGCTCCAGTTTGTCTTTCCTCCTCAGCCAGACACTGGCACTGTAGTCCTGCTGCTTGACAGTGCTGTAGAAGTTCGCGCCTACTCTGGTGAGGCTTGGGGAAGGCTCCCTGGGTCTGCTCTTCAGCCTCATCTGCTCGAAGCCTTCATGGGGGGATGAGGAGAGCCAGTCATGCCTGACTTCCATCTTGACATGACAAGGCAAAGTCCAAGCAAAAAAATCAGAAGAAATCAAGAAATTAAGAGGCACTAGACAAAGAGGGTCCAAAAAAGAACAGGATAGGGAA